AAGGGTAAGACTGCTGTAGCACCTATGCTTTAAGATGAACTTAGGCTAAGACTGCTGTAGCACCTATGCTTTAAGATGAACTTAGGCTAAGACTGCTGTAGCACCTATGCGTTAAGATGAACTTAGGCTAAGACTGCTGTAGCACCTATGCTTTAGGGTGAACTTAGGCTAAGACTGCTGTAGCACCTATGCTTTAGGGTGAACTTAGGCTAAGACTGCTGTAGCACCTATGCGTTAAGGTGAACTTAGGCTAAGACTGCTGTAGTACCTATGCTTTAGGGTGAACTTAGGCTAAGACTGCTGTAGTACCTATGCTTTAAGATGAGTGAGTGAGTATGGTTTTACGCTGCCTTTAGCAATATTCCAGCAATATCACGGCAGGGACACCAGAAATGGTCTTCACACATTGTACCGTGAATTAAAGCTGGGTCTTCAGCGAGACGAGCAAACACTTTAACCACTAGGCTGCCCGAAGGCTCCCTTTAAGATAAACTTAGACTAAGACTGAGGTAGTACCTATGCTTTAAGATGAACTGACAACACTTTTAGCACTAAGACTGTTGTAGCACCTATCCTTTAAAATAGACACTTTAAGCCTAAGGCAGGTCCTTATAATGCTTTAAAATAGACCTGAGATACTTGTAGCAAGTGAACACCAAGCAATATCCCAGCTGTCACAACACAGAGTCATACAGGCTACACATGCTCATTTCAAACACTTCGTATGACAAGTAGAAATATGAAATGCTCTGAAAATACAACAAACTGTCCAGACTCACCGGCAGGAGAAACTGTATCTTTAATCTGAGACAAGACACAGACACCACAAATTCAATTATTAAAGCCAGTCACAGTTACTTGTGTGTGATGTATGTGTCCTGTCACTTGTGGCTGTCATGTTAATCAGAGACAGCCTTTGATGTTGACATTGAGTGACAGCTATGTGCATGTGATAGACATGGTCAGTATCTGTGTGGATGGTTCTGGGAGGGAGAATGTTGATAGCTTACCGGCACATGTGGTCTGGTTAGTTCTATCTACTGTGGTATTCCTCCCATGTCAATTGTGGCAGTGTCATGCATCACATGGTCATACACGAGGTGATTTATGACTGTTTGATGTATGACAGAAAGGTGATACATTGATTATGTTTACTGTTACCAGCTGGTGATAAACAATGATAAACAGATTCTCCTCACTTCTCCCGTATAAAATCATATTTTACCTGACGGTTAATGTCTTAGTTTTATGAGACATAAGAAACTCATTACATTTTAAATTAGTGATGGGTTTGGGCCGGAATTTGGTATTATTTATTGCAATAACAGAGCTCCAGATAAGCTGCGTATCTGCGTGAAACACGTCAGAAATGCAGAAATACGCAGTAAAATATAATCCAAGCGTATCAAATACGCAACGAACATTACAGATACGCTACAAAAATAATATTTGTGCGTATCATAAAAATATTGTGAAGTAACCCTGCGTATTCGATTAGCAAATCAGCAACTTATTTTGAAATTATAAACGGGCATTCCGTCAACCTTGCCAAACTCCACGATGACAGTCACATCATGATCATTTGCCATCACACTTTCGTGTGGAAGTATCGTGGTATTTTTGAGTCCTATAAAGCTCTCGAACCCACACGACACCAGTTTGCAGGGACTGGATGAATAGTGTTTTTAAATATTTCACTTAAATACCCACATGTGTAAAAACTAGTGGGTAACAGAAATTTGAATATGCAGATAGAATTACTGATACCCAATGATTTTAAAATGCATGGGTAAAATACCCACAACACCAAAAGCTTATCTGGAGCTCTGCAATAATTATTCATGTATTGTGATATGTACCACAATATAATACATGCATTCTTTCATCTGTATGAGGATAAGTGTCCTGTCCACACAGTGTTTGAAGAGTGAGTACCCAGGTTTAAATTAGCCTTCAGCAACCCAAGCTTGTCTTAAAAGAGGCGACTATGCTTGTTGTTAGAGGCGACTAACAGGACTAGGTGGTCAGGCTCACTGGATTGGTTGATGCATGTCATTGTATCCCAATTGCATAGATAGATGCTCGTGATGTCAATCACTGGTTTGTCTGGTCCAGACCTATTTACAGAGTGCTGTCATATAGCTGGAATATTGCAAAATGTTGCGTTAAACAACAAACAAACATGTTCTTAGCACCAAAAGACAGTCCTAAGGGTATGGGTATTTTTAAGCGAGGAGGTTATGGTCAGCCCCATCTTCCCGAGACAAGGGAGTTAACTGACTGTAAAAGTCCAGTTTCCACCCTTGCAGAACTAGGCTGGAATTTCTGGGGTAGATCGTGATCGTAGCGCCATCACGAGTTCTGTCCCTGCTATGCCCCCCCCCCCCCCCCCCTATTGACCAACCAGATTCCACCTATCATATTACTTGCATTTTTTTCAAACAAAATGGCGGGGCCCAGTCAAGACGATCTATTCGATGATCAAGATCTATATTGTAATAAAACGCATCTTACCTCGCGAAGTGCATCAAATCATGTCAGCACCTTGATTAAACACATGAAAAGATTTGGAAAATATCTGTCGATGCCCAGTTGATGGTACACATCCTTTGCAAATCCTGCAGTCGACCGAAATATGCACGTTGAAATACATGTTGCTTACGAACCGGATGTCGATTTCGTAGTCCAGCCAATATATAACTCCATAATCCCAGCCTAGTTCGGCAAGGGTGGAAACTGGACTTTTACAGTCAGTTAACTCCCTTGCCTAGGGAAGATGGGTCAGCCCTAGCAGTGTGTGTGCCGACTTGACCCGATGGAGTGGCTTGTCAATTGTGGCATTAAAAAGCAAAACAAACAAAGCCCACTGATGTATTGCCAAACATTTTGAGACCTTGTGATACTGCTATAACAAATTTATCTTACCGACATGTTATAATATGACATTGCAAAAGAAGTAAAAGAAATTCAAAATTGATAGAAAACATCTGTTTTGATTGAGCTCAGATTAACTTGTGCTGTGTCACATGACTTTCATTGACTTTGAATTTTTTTTTTAAATAATGTCCGTTAAAGAAACACTTTTATAAATAAAGATTTCAATCAAATTTTGAAGTTGATTTCATAAATGTGTTTTTGTCTTATTATGACTTTTGGCAGGCACATCCATAAATGAGTGAGTGAGTGAGTTGGGTTTAACGCCAACAGTATTACAGTTTTATCATGGCATGTCAGCTTAATGTGGGAGGAAAGCCCGAAGTGATGCAGGTCTCAGACGTTTACCACTTCGGTGAAACCCATGGTTATAGTGCTGACAAACCTAGAAACATAATCGGGGCGAACTGGGATTCGAACTCACAATCATAGGTTTCTGGCGCACACTACACAGTGAATCACAGCGCCTTAGATGACTGGGCCACCCGTGCCTCCATCAGATATAGTCAGTGTAGTTACTTCAGTTCAGATAAACTTCAGTTCTGTTTTAAGATACACACCAGTACCATCCTGTGTCTGTGTGTCTGGTGATGAGGTTGAATAAAGGGGATAAATGGATCACCTAGCTACAGGTGAATATAGAACACTGTCCACAAGCCTACCTGTGTCTGTGTGTCTGGTGATGAGATTGAATAAAGGGGATAAATGGATCACCTAGCTACAGGTGAATATAGAACACTGTCCACAAGCCTACCTGTGTCTGTGTGTCTGGTGATGAGGTTGAATACACTGCATAAACAATCACCTAGCTACAGGTGAATATAGGAAAAGTACTCTTAGTGTTATTTATATCTGTCTAGACTTAATGATGAAATCCTGTCTAAGAAATTTAATGCTATGGCAATAACCAAGTGAGCTCGACACAGACAATGCACAATGATCTATACCATCCTCTGACTATAGTAGACAACATAAACGTCAAGATACATTCAGATACATTCAAGAAAATTTGTTTACAGATCAGTATCCCAAACACTAAAAAGTGGAAAACTTTTTTAAGGAAAAAAAGCATTCCTCCAACTGCAAACTTTGTACCGGTAACTTACAAGACGGACAAACTTATTCAGTGATTATTTTCAACAGAATTACACAATTACTAAATACATATTATAAATTACATATTGCAGCCGTTATTTCCGCCCAAACAGCTGCAGCAATAAATTAATTCTGACTTTAAATCAGGAATCTATTCAGATGCACTAAAATGGACGACTCCCCAAAAGTATTTATCAACAAATCTCTCAGAATAAAAAATGTTTTGTCAGAAGTGTTAGAGAATAGATTATTGAAAGGTTTATGATTTGAGGTAGTCTGTGAAAGGAAGGTGTATATCAGTTCTTGCTTATATTTATATTACTTCTCATAAATCAGTGTTAGGTGGAATATTTCCCTGATGTTTGGGCATTAAGTGGCTATCTGCTGTGATAAGACCATCAACTGCGCTTCATTTAAGGCTGTATTATCTAACAGCCTGGCGCTTTGACAAGAAAGATGATACAACATCTTTTCAAAAACTCATCCCCTCTTGCACATCGTGTAAACTCAGCTGAACTTACATATATCTATTAGTGGTATTCATCATCATCATCATCATCATCATCATCATCATCATCATCATCATCATCATCACTGAAGCCTGGTGCTGGACCTTATCTTAAGTATTTATGTATGATTGGATGGATGGATGAATGGTTGGATGGATGGATGGATGGTTGGATGGATGTAATTAGAAAATTACTCCTGGGCAAGAATGAGTACCCAGGTGATGTTCAGCTGAAAATGTTTTGGTCATTGCTGTGGGTTTTTTCAGTCATTTCGTTGCAGGTGTCAATATTCCACCGAGAACAATGAAACCATCTCTTGAGAAAATGTCAATGTTCTCCTCTTGTACAGCAGTACCTGTGCAGTGTTGGTCGCAGCATATCATATTTCACATTAATAATTCAGTAAAGAATACATATAGTTCATGTGTTAACACCATGGTAACATCATGCTTCCTGTTACAGGCCTGTTGATTGGTGGAGGGCTGGCTATCTACCCCTACGGCTGGAACAATGTTGAAGTTCACCAGGCGTGTAATGGGATGTCTGGTCACTATTATCTAGGTGAGTCTCTGTAATATTGAAGTTCACCAGGCGTGTAATGGGATGTCTGGTCACTATTATCTAGGTGAGTCTCTGTAATATAGAAGTTCACCAGGCGTGTAATGGGATGTCTGGTCACTATAATCTAGGTGAGTCTCTGTAATATTGAAGTTCACCAGGCGTGTAATGGCATGTCTGGTCACTATTATCTAGGTGAGTCTCTGTAATATTGAAGTTCACCAGGCGTGTAATTGGATGTCTGGTCACTATTATCTAGGTGAGTCTCTGTAATATTGAAGTTCACCTGGCGTGTAATGGGATGTCTGGTCACTATAATCTAGGTGAGTCTCTGTAATATTGAAGTTCACCAGGCGTGTAATGGCATGTCTGGTCACTATAATCTAGGTGAGTCTCTGTAATATTGAAGTTCACCAGGCGTGTAATGGGATGTCTGGTCACTATAATCTAGGTGAGTCTCTGTAATATTGAAGTTCACGAGGCGTGTAATGGGATGTCTGGTCACTATTATCTAGGTGAGTCTCTGTAATATTGAAGTTCACCTGGCGTGTAATGGCATGTCTGGTCACTATAATCTAGGTGATTCTCTGTAATATTGAAGTTCACCAGGCGTGTAATGGCATGTCTGGTCACTATAATCTAGGTGAGTCTCTGTAATATTGAAGTTCACCTGGCGTGTAATGGCATGTCTGGTCACTATAATCTAGGTGAGTCTCTGTAATATTGAAGTTCACCAGGCGTGAAATGGCATGTCTGGTCACTATTATCTAGGTGAGTCTCTGTAATATTGAAGTTCACCAGGCGTGTAATGGCATGTCTGGTCACTATTATCTAGGTGAGTCTCTGTAATATTGAAGTTCACCAGGCGTGAAATGGCATGTCTGGTCACTATAATCTAGGTGAGTCTCTGTAATATTGAACTTCACCAGGCGTGTAATGGGATGTCTGGTCACTATAATCTAGGTGAGTCTCTGTAATATTGAAGTTCACCAGGCGTGTAATGGGATGTCTGGTCACTATTATCTAGGTGAGTCTCTGTAATATTGAAGTTCACCAGGCGTGTAATGGGATGTCTGGTCACTATAATCTAGGTGAGTCTCTGTAATATTGAAGTTCACCAGGCGTGTAATGGGATGTCTGGTCACTATTATCTAGGTGAGTCTCTGTAATATTGAAGTTCACCAGGCGTGTAATGGGATGTTTGGTCACTATTATCTAGGTGAGTCTCTGTAATATTGAAGTTCACCTGGCGTGTATTGGGATGTCTGGTCACTATAATCTAGGTGAGTCTCTGTAATATTGAAGTTCACCTGGCGTGTAATGGCATGTCTGGTCACTATTATCTAGGTGAGTCTCTATAATATTGAAGTTCACCTGGCGTGTAATGGGATGTCTGGTCACTGTAATCTAGGTGAGTCTCTGTAATATTGAAGTTCACCTGGCGTGTAGTGGGATGTCTGGTCACTATTATCTAGGTGAGTCTCTGTAATATTGAAGTTCACCAGGCGTGTAGTGGGATGTCTGGTCACTATTATCTAGGTGAGTCTCTGTAATATTGAAGTTCACCTGGCGTGTAATGGGATGTCTGGTCACTATTATCTAGGTGAGTCTCTGTAATATTGAAGTTCACCTGGCGTGTATTGGGATGTCTGGTCACTATAATCTAGGTGAGTCTCTGTAATATTGAAGTTCACCTGGCGTGTAATGGGATGTCTGGTCACTATTATCTAGGTGAGTCTCTATAATATTGAAGTTCACCTGGCGTGTAATGGGATGTCTGGTCACTATAATCTAGGTGAGTCTCTGTAATATTGAAGTTCACCTGGCGTGTAATGGGATGTCTGGTCACTATAATCTAGGTGAATCTCTGTAATATTGAAGTTCACCAGGCGTGTAGTGGGATGTCTGGTCACTATAATCTAGGTGAGTCTCTGTGATATTGAAGTTCACCTGGCGTGTAATGGGATGTCTGGTCACTATTATCTAGGTGAGTCTCTGTAATATTGAAGTTCACCTGGCGTGTAATGGGATGTCTGGTCACTATTATCTAGGTGAGTCTCTGTAATATTGAAGTTCACCTGGCGTGTAATGGGATGTCTGGTCACTATAATCTAGGTGAGTCTCTGTAATATTGAAGTTCACCAGGCGTGTAGTGGGATGTCTGGTCACTATAATCTAGGTGAGTCTCTGTAATATTGAAGTTCACCAGGCGTGTAATGGGATGTCTGGTCACTATTATCTAGGTGAGTCGATGTAATATTGAAGTTCACCTGGCGTGTAGTGGGATGTCTGGTCACTATAATCTAGGTGAGTCTCTGTAATATTGAAGTTCACCTGGCGTGTAATGGGATGTCGGGTCACTATAATCTAGGTGAGTCTCTGTAATATTGAAGTTCACCAGGCGTGTAATGGGATGTCTGGTCACTATAATCTAGGTGAGTCTCTGTAATATTGAAGTTCACCTGGCGTGTAATGGGATGTCTGGTCACTATAATCTAGGTGAGTCTCTATAATATTGAAGTTCACCAGGCGTGTAATGGCATGTCTGGTCACTATAATCTAGGTGAGTCTCTGTAATATTGAAGTTCACGAGGCGTGTAATGGGATGTCTGGTCACTATTATCTAGGTGAGTCTCTGTAATATTGAAGTTCACCTGGCATGTAATGGCATGTCTGGTCACTATAATCTAGGTGAGTTTCTGTAATATTGAAGTTCACCTGGCGTGTAATGGGATGTCTGGTCACTATTATCTAGGTGAGTCTCTGTAATATTGAAGTTCACCTGGCGTGTAATGGGATGTCTGGTCACTATAATCTAGGTGAGTCTCTGTAATATTGAAGTTCACCTGGCGTGTAATAGGATGTCTGGTCACTATAATCTAGGTGAGTCTCTGTAATATTGAAGTTCACCAGGCGTGTAATAAGATGTCTGGTCACTATAATCTAGGTGAGTCTCTGTAATATTGAAGTTCACCTGGCGTGTAATGGGATGTCTGGTCACTATTATCTAGGTGAGTCTCTGTAATATTGAAGTTCACCAGGCGTGTAATGGGATGTCTGGTCACTATAATCTAGGTGAGTCTCTGTAATATTGAAGTTCACCTGGCGTGTAATAGGATGTCTGGTCACTATAATCTAGGTGAGTCTCTGTAATATTGAAGTTCACCAGGCGTGTAATAGGATGTCTGGTCACTATAATCTAGGTGAGTCTCTGTAATATTGAAGTTCACCAGGCGTGTAATGGGATGTCTGGTCACTATTATCTAGGTGAGTCTCTGTAATATTGAAGTTCACCAGGCGTGTAATGGCATGTCTGGTCACTATAATCTAGGTGTGTCTCTGTAATATTGAAGTTCACCAGGCGTGTAATGGGATGTCTGGTCACTATAATCTAGGTGAGTCTCTGTAATATTGAAGTTCACCAGGCGTGTAATGGCATGTCTGGTCACTATAATCTAGGTGAGTCTCTGTAATATTGATTTTAAGGGTGAGCAGTATTATCGGTATATTGGTATATCATGAATGTCATGTTTTGTACTAGCCAAATACCTTCGCTTCCCCGGAGCGCTGCCCCAAGATGGCTGTGTATTTATTGAATGAGTAAACATTATGTTGTACCAGCATCTTGTTTTGTTCCATTTATTAACTTCAATTCATGCATTGATGTTTCAGATTGCTTCTGAATTCAAAATTCAAAATTATGCACCTCCAATACATATACAAATTAATTTCCTTACAAAAACTCTTGAAAATCATTTTAAACACAAACAATTAATGTTCAGCTTCTTTTAACATCAAGCACAAAAGTTTATAATTTATTGATATCATTTTTGAAACATTTTGTCATAAGCATTAGAAAACAAGAAAAGGATTGATGTAGTGTTTGTTTGAATAGGATTGAAACGGTATTGAAATGTTTGTGAAGAGATGTTCTCATGTTCTTTCTTGTGTTCCAGGTAGCTGTACGTTATCGTGGGCGTTCTACCTCACGGGCTGTGGCGCTGGCTTGACGGTCATCTGCTGTATGATGGCGTGTCACGCTCACCGCAAGAAAGACACTCACACTGTCACATACCATGTGTAATAGACGACTGCCGGGCGTGACGGACGTCTGTCACTGTCATTGACTGTAATCCATTTCAACACATCAGCATGACAATCAGCTGTTACCAGGATTCAAGCACCTGGCACCACCACCCTGTGAAGTGACAGTGTTGATGTGTCACCTGTCACACTTCAGTGTTGTACATTTCATGCAATGGACGTGATATTGACATCCAGTGATGATGAACACAACTGTGGAATCTCAATACCTGAATGTTTGTGGTTGTAAGTGAAACCATCATTTAGCACACAATCTGAAGACCAATCTACATGACATGGGAAATAAGCCATCATCCTTTTCATTCGTACCACAATTCATCCATACAAACTCGGCACTGTGCACGGCTTGTAAGTCGCCAAGCATATCTGACAACACCAATACCTGGATTGATTTGGCTTGTTGAGTGGGCCGGAGTTGTTAAGAAATGAGTGACACCTCATTGGAATATTAGATTGATGTTGTCGATCACTTCTGCATCCTAAATCACAGCATCTATGTCACATTTTACAGCTTGCAGCTTGGGTGTTGTAATTCATGAAATGATCAAAGGGAGACAACTCTACAAAATTTCACTCGACAGTTTGCCTGTTGATATTATAGAAAAGACCTTGATTGATTTCAGGAGACATGATAAATCTTTAATAAATTTGTTAAGTATAGGTACTCACATAGAAAATGCCTCGATTCTCTCACATGTGTTTGACGTTAATTATATGGAAGTTAATGTTCATGAAATATATCAGCTTGAGTGTATTGTGATAAAATAATGAAAATATTTCATAGAAATAATACAGTATGTGATTACATTTTAATATACATTATTTAGAATTTTTTCACATGGTTGTATTTTTACCATGAGTAGAAAATAACATTCTTGTCTGTTTTAGTAGTTCTATTTTTACTAGACAGGTTGATCATAATATCAGTGATTTTGAAATTAGCACGTGAATGTGTGAAAGGAAGGTTATGTTTATTCAAAATTTAAGTTATTAACAGTTGTGGGGATCTTAGTAATGGTTGCACAAAATAGGAATGTTTTTCACTTGATATGATGAAATAGATCTAAGGGAGGTAATTCTCACGTCGGGAAATCATTCCAAGTTTTGTCTTCAAATGAGCCAATCTCATTCAAATCAGATCTTAGTTCTCGCTGCCGCTCAACAAAGATCTGAGGACATCCCATTATGGGTCACCTCAGACCGACCTTTCGCGAATTCTGACCGACCAATGGAATTACTGACAAGAAATCGACATTAGCCAATCAGAAGGCAGCTTTCTCGTGCTTTACGGCACTAATTTCAAATTGGCGACTACGCTTCAAAACATATTTTGACAAATTCTCACTTAAAAATTTAAAACCTGAAAAAAGAACATTCACAAATGGCTAATATATGGTCTAGATTGTATAGATTCTGTCGTTAAGCCCGTAACTATCGTTTGGAATTCCCCGTTTTAAAGTTTTCGAGGCTGCATGATTAGAAATCACATTCCGACTGTCACTTTCATGATCTGGTAAGCGACGCTCTGATTGGTCGGATGAAAGGTCGTTCTGGCGTGACCCCTAATGGGATGTCCTCAGATCTTTTTTCAGCAGTAGCGAGAACTAAAACCTGATTTTAATGAGATTGCAAATCAGCTTGTCTACCAAACCTGTTTCTGTAATACAGGATCAGTGGTACACAGTACGACATATTTATCATGACCATGTCCTAACCCATGAATACATACATGTTGTAATGCACATGTTAATTTAATGTTCCAAAAAGGTTTTGTGTATATAGACACTGAAAGTGTGCGTCTAGTCATTGCAAATAGTGCTCCATCACTAGATGCTGATACAGAAAGGTTGTATATTTATTTGGAGATTGTCGTGATTTGTATGAAGAACTGGAACTAATTGTCCCAGATTAATCAGTCAAGAGGCATCTTCCTGAGGCAAGGGAATTAACTGACTTTAAGAGTTCAGTTTCAAATCTTGCTGAACTAGGCTGGAATTGTGGAGTTATATATTTGCTGTGCATAGTCCAAACACAATACTGTAATCATATCGACATCCGGTTCACTGTCATGCCGAATTTGTTCGATTGCAGGATTTGCAGACTGTGTATCGTCAACTGGAATTGTGGAGTTATATATTTGCTGGAGTTAGGGCTGGGACGAGTCTAAATTTACTACCTGAGTACCACCCCCCTATTACCCGACATTACCCGGGTACCCACTGTAGGTCTCAAGAGGTAGGTGAAAACTGTCCGATTTGGAATAGTTTGACGGTAGCTCTGGTAAAATGTGTTTAGATACATGTATGAAACCATCTGGTGTATACACTGAAGTTGACTGAAGTTTTATTTTTATTCAAACATATAAGAAGGAATGGGCGAGCCCAGAAATTCCAGCCCAGTTTGACAAGGGTGGAAACTGGACTTTGACTTAAGGGTCAGTTACCTCCCTTGCCTCGGGAAGTCTCCTCGGGATGTCATGGGGTCTCCTACACAGATTGTTGTAATTGTTGTGAATATCATACCATTGTAGCTATGTGGAAATCTATTAAAACAGTTGTAATTTCATGATGGAATCCTTCCTCTTGTCTGTATTGTGAGGTGTATAATGTGGATTGGATGATCACAATGGAGACTGGATGCTGGTGCTTCGTTTGCTGACCAGAGAGATCTACTCATCACGCTAACAATCAGTGGTTTTCTGATATGAAACTGTGTAAATTATGCTGTCAAATAACTGTTGAATCCGAAATCTATGTCAGTGGATTTGAGTCCTAGGTTGGCCTGATGTTTCTTGGTTTGTCAGCATCGTCCCAGTGCTCTGGAGTTTCTGCAGAGTTGTAAAACCCAAGACCCATTGTTGACACGCCTTGATATTCATAACAGAAATATAGTGGCAGTTCCTACCTACTCTTTGTTTGTTCCATGTCATGTACTCCAGGTACTATGGGTTTCAGGATATATGGTTTAATCACTTTATTTAGGCATGTGTTGTCATTGAATGGTCCTGGAAGTCCAGTTAACCTGTGCAACATCAACACAGTGCAATATCAGTATTGTTTGGAGGTTTCCACAAGACACATTCTACATTTTCAATCATAGCTGTGATATGTAGCTGAAATATTGCTGACTTGTGTTAAACATTCACTCACTCACTTCTCTCTATAGTACTATCACTCACTCACTCTATATTTGAGTAGTATCACTCACTCACTTCTCACTCTAGTACTATCACTCACTCACTTCTCACTCTAGTACTACCACTCACTCACTTCTAACTCTAGTACTATCATTCACTCACTTCTCACTATAGTACTACCACTCACTCACTTCTCACTCTAGTACTACCACTCACTCACTTCTAACTCTAGTACTATCACTCACTCACTTCTCATTCTAGTACTACCACTCACTCACTTCTCACTCTAGTACTATCACTCACTCACTTCTCATTCTAGTACTATCACTCACCCACTTCTCACTATAGTACTATCACTCACTCACTTCTAACTCTAGTACTATCACTCACTCACTTCTCACTCTAGTACTACCACTCACTCACTTCTCACTCTAGTACTACAACTCACTCACTTCTCACTATAGTACTATCACTCACTCACTCACTTCTCACTCCAGTACTACCACTCACTCACTTCTCACTATAGTACTACCACTCACTCACTCACTTCTCACTCCAGTATTACCACTCACTCACTTCTCACTCTAGAACTATCACTCACTCACTCACTTCTCACTCTAGTACTATCACTCACTCACTTCTCACTCTAGTACTACCACTCACTCTCTTCTCCCTATAGTACTATCACTCATTCACTTCTCACCCTAGTACTATCACTCACTCACTTCTCACTATAGTACTATCACTCACTCACTTCTCGCTATAGAACTATCACTCACTCACTTCTCACTATAGTACTATCACTCACTCACTTTTCACTATAGTACTATCACTCACTCACTTCTCACTATAGTACTATCACTCACTCACTTCTCACTATAGTATTATCACTCACTCACTTCTCAATGTGCACAACTCAGTCGGCATGAAACTCATTTCAGTTCAGTATTGACTTTTTAAGTATCATGAAAACCTAGTATTTTCCACAGTACATGCATATACGTTTATAACATGTTTGATGTCAGTGTTTGTGTGATGTTGATGTCTCTATCACAACTTGATATTGTATAAGATCTATAACGTACTACATCATACTTGTGACCGTGTTCTCATCAATAAACTGATGATAAAGCACAACTGTAGTCAGAGTTATTTCCCTTGGATCATTGGATCATATAAGCACATTTAATATAATAAATATTAAGAAAATGTACATATAATATGACAAATATATTCCAGAAAATGCACATTTTCTTAAAAAAAAGAAATGTAAAGGTAGTATGTCGTTCATTGAACATGACTACACAAAAAACCCGGTATATAAATTGGATATATGTTATTGGAAAATGTTGGTGTGCTGATATTCGACAAACGGTGCGTCAAAACGCAGCCATTGTCCATTTGTAATGTCTTAAACAGCATTTTGTCCACATTTGTTAAAAAATGTCATGGAGGAAAACAGTAAAGCAAACTTCACGTGTAAGTAATGGCATTCGTAACTCGTGGTAGTGGCTATAAAAAGGCAAGCATAAGCCAATAATTTGTCATTCAATTGTCAACATTTTTCAAGTTCGAAATTGCCGTGACTCGGCGCTGCCGATCGGAACATCGTCATAGGACGTATCCAAAGAGGGGAATCGCAGTCTTCTGTTGCACGCCACTTCAACGTCCACCACAGCACCATTTGCCGCCTTTGAGACCGATAGACACAGTTCAATTCAGGCCGAACTAGAGTTACCACCCCTGCACAGGATCGCTACATTCGACTATGGAGACTGCAGGTCGCATCCCTGGTTTTAGGAGGATATTGGGCCAGACTGTCATATCCTACACCACGAGATCAACAAGACAACGCTTCACCGCACACAGCTCGTGTCACGGTAGACTACCTTCATAATGCCAACATCAAGGACTTGCCCTGGCCGTCGAGATCTCCAGATCTCAACCCAATCGAACACATCTGGGATTAACTTGATCGACGTGGATGTCAACATCAGAACATGCAGCAGACACTCCGACAACTGGCCAACGCGTTAAAAGCAGAATGGCGCAGAATTCCGGAGGACAGAATTCGTACACGTATCCAGTCAGTGCCAAGGAGATGCAGATCCGTGATTGCTGCCAGGGGCGGTCACACAAGATACTGAGTTCAGCGCTACCTTGTGGCCTTATGTGACATGACAATGAACAGTTTTCAATGCCTTTGTACAACGACAACATGTTACTATAGAGCTCCAAAATATCATATTTGTATCTGAGATATTAAATCAAATATATCGACTTTATTAGGTACAATAAATTTACTTAAAATCTGCCTACAGGTGCGTTTTCTTTTTTTAGGGTGTATAATATATGTCATTAATGCATTAAACAAAACATACATTCCATAGGTTATAATAATTACATTAATAAATGTACGTTCTATAGGCACTTTCATAAGTTTCATAAGGCCCCTTCATAAGTTTCATGGGGGCGGTCGGGTAGCCTAGTGGTTAAAGCGTTTATTTAGTTTACATGTTTATTTAGCTGTCCTTGAAGACGGTAGCCCAGTCTCTGGTCACGCTCAGTTGCGTTGCGTATCATCCGGGTACTCACGGGAAAAAACAATAACAAAGGCAACAACCAGTCCGGGGCATTGCGTTAGATCAGTGCTCCTTTAAGTCTTACAAACTAGCCTTTTACACATTCTGCACACACTAATGTGCTACTCGATTGTCTGAAGCCCCCGTTACACTATCAAAAACTTTGATCAAAAACTTGTTTTTCTTGGTCAAAGTTGGACTTTTTACACCCATCAAAGCTTTTGACAGGCCGTCAAAGTTTTGATGGTACTTATCTTGTGCTACTGACGAAGAATTGTTGGCTGTTGTCAAATGTATTTTGTTCATTGCCATGTTGAGAAGGCGGCGTCCGGGTAGGCAAAGGCAGCTTCCCTTATAAATAAGCGCGCCCGAAATCCGTTAGGAGGCATTTTTTAGCAAAAAGGACCCCAAAAATGAGCTGGACGTGAAAAGTGGGGGTCGAGAGTTTTACGATAGAAAGTGAAGCCGAATTATTGTACTGTCAACTTCTTGTTGTTTGTGGGCGGGACATAAATGACGTAAGACGTCACGTGTCTGATCATGTGACTTTCCTTTTATGGACTCGTTACTACGAAAGCAACTTCGCTCATAACTTGTAAATTCATAAAGTGTGGCTTGTACAAATAAAACAGAGTCGACTTGGCGTACAGTGAAGACATCTTTGCATAGGTATGGGGCGAATGCGGGAATGTATGACAATTATTTTGTTCAAAACATTATCAGAAAAGAAATATTTGAGTTGTTCAATTGATCAGTTTCTAAGTTCACCGGCCGTGTTAACATTTATTAAACTTAGAAACAAAATGATCGTTTAAGAAAAAGATGAAAAAGAAGCAGAAAAAGAAATTGAACTAGGTCTAGATGGATCCACAGACTTAGGTCCTAGAATCTATATGACAGTCAAAACGAATTCAACGTTTCAAATGATTTGTTTGAATGAGAATTTTGCGTATTGCGATTTATTTGAAAAAGGGGGATCCTCTTTACCCCCCGTACTTTTCTTTAAAAATGTCATAAAGGTGGGGTTGTACCTGCCTTGAACCCCGCTGTGTTGTCCGCCCAACAAAATATATTGTTCAAGTAACAGAATGAACTTACCGTCGTGCGATTTATTTGAAAAAAAGAGGGGTGTAACCCCCTTTTACGTTAATATTTCGACAAGGGGGGACAATACCCCCTTTGTACCCCCCGTGTGTTGCCTGTGTAAGAAAATACTGAACTGCAGACAGCGTTCGGTAGAAAAATGGCGGCCAACAAATCCTCTCGCTTCGACCGTAAATAACGAACTGCGCATGCGTGGAACGTTTTTCATTCGACAACTTCCGTTAACACGTAAAAACGTTCCTTCCGAAGTGGGGACCCAAATACTGCAGTCTACCCCAAAGGCATATTTACCCGAGAATGGCTGCTCGTTGTTGAAACAAATCGATTAATTCTTCAAACATCTCGTCTCGTCTGTCGAAATTAGTTAACTCATTTTGACTTGACACTATCCACTTCCGATTGAAAAGGGGTAAATATTCCTTGCAGTCTGATTGGCTAAATTTAATCAACGTCATCAAACTTTGATCAAAGTTTGACGAGAAATAGAATCGGTTTCTATTCCATCAAAGTCCCGTTAAAAACTTTGTCAAAGTTTTTGACGGCATGTTACGCTTTCAAAAACTTGGTCAAAATGGACTTTGATCATGTTATTGATCAAAGTTTTTGATAGTGTAACGGGGGCTTGACTGATGGGACATTTGACTACTGGGAGTAAACCAACTGATCAGGTACGACAGAAGTATTTCAAGCATTCATAAAATATGCTACATGCACGAGTTGCCTCCCCTCCCCCACAGTATTAT